GATTTTTGGGGAGAAACCAAGGTGGCTTTCTGCCACAGAGAGAACCCAAGGGAGCCACACCACCTCCCTCAAAGCAGTTACCTCTGTCACCACCTCAATGAGGACCCCAATCCCTTACTCCTCCATACACCTGTACCAGGAATCATAGCTAGATGTGACTGCACCACAGCATACCCCTCGATACACCCCTCACTATGGGGGACCCATGCCCATTCAAACTGTACCAGCTCTCAACGTGGACCCTGGGAAATTTTGTGCTTCCACCTTTCCTACAGCCTATATGCCTGCACAACACAGTACCAATAAACTGGGCAACTTCCATTGCTCCTTGATATGGAAGTCTTCTGCTATGCCTCATAGACACAATCTCCACTGCCAAAATGTGCATTCTGGATCTCTGCTCCCCTTGACTTTCATGGCCTCAGTTTTTACCACTTGGTTCTGCTGATCACCTTCAGCCTCTCAACCTTCACTCCTCAGCACTTACACTTGCCCCCCATTTTGACTGTCTCTGGGCCTCCCCTTAAGCTCCCCAGTTCTGCTAGTCACCTTCAAGCCATTGGCCTTTATTCCCCACCATGCCAATGTCATCTCACCACTCTGACCCCCGGCTCCACTGTTCCCTAGCCTTCTTTCTCAGCCATCTGCCCTGAAGCTTCCTTATCTTCCCGCTGCCTGCTGGGAGCTGTCCAGCACCAGGGCCAGAGCTTCTTGTTGGCCAGTGTAGAGCAGGAGCACATGGACAAAGCATGCTTACAACAGCACTCCCAAGAGCTGTGCAGAAATGATACAGAGGTACCAAATAATTTGGATTATTATATAGCAGCAGTCCACTTTTTGGACTGCTGCTATATAAGAGAAGTATGGGAAATAAGAAATCTCACTAGTAGATGTCATGGAGAAAGGAACTAAAAGCTGCAAATAAAACTAGAGTCATGCTTAGCAGAGAGAAAAGTCAAGGGAAAAAAACAAGGCAGTACACAGACTGGGCAGAAGAGGGAAGGGCCAGATGGCAGAAGAGGGAAGGAGGAAAAACAAAACAGAAATGATGAGAAGGTAAAAGATCAAAAGTGGAAAGTATAAATAACTTTTTCTAAGAAGCCCAAACCCTGCTTTCATTAAACAATTAAAATACCTAAAAAACTTCCCTCCAATTTCTATGTAAGCAGCTGCTACAATGATCCACATTAGTTATTATTTGTAGTAATAGGTCCCAAAGTCCCCAAGAAATGTCTGAGCCCTTGGAGTAGGTGCTGTATAAACTCACAGTAAAAAAACAAACCATGACCGTGAAAAGATAAAACATATTGGGTGAGATGGATACAACATGCAACTACAAGCACTGGGGATTCTTTTTTTCCACACCTCCATGATAGGCAACATACGAGGGGTGTAGAAACAAAGGTTAATATCAAAATTAAGACAGCATTTACATATAATAGAGAGCGAGCAAGTGAGAGCCAGATTCATTATGCATGATACATCATGATCACGCATGATGTGACACATTCATTTTTAAGATAGGATGCACATTATGGTAAGTTTGAGAATCTATGCTTCATCCCTGATACCAATATGCAGTTCAAATAACAATGACAGTAACTGCCCTTATTCTCACCTCCCCCATCTTCAGCATATCCAGTAATCAACTAAAGCAGGGCTAAGTGGCAGCCCTCAGGCCACATGCAGTCCCCAAGGGATTAAACTGCAGCCCCTGTGCTCCTGGTCTGAATACCACTCCCCCCTTTGCTCTCTTGCTGCTGCTGCCAGAGACACCAGGCTTCCCCTCCCTCCTCCAGCTTCTGCTGCCTGCCTATACCCTAAAGGACAGGACTGGGGAGTGGAGGGGGGCATAACAGTGTGGCCCATACAGTTGAGAGATCCTGCAGCCAGAGGGCTCAGGGAACCCAGAGACCCTGACTGACATCCGTGCCAGTGTGGAACAGCAGTAGTTAGTCAACACACAGTAGGGAAAGGGGCTGCGTGGTGAGACTACACTGTGCATCATGTCCAAGCATGCAAAAGGATTGCATGGTGAGGCATGTCCATGCATCAGGGCCACAGGGCATTTCAAGGGTTCGCATGGCACATTGGGTGCCATGCAGTGCAATGAGATAGTGTGTTCATGTGACACAGGATGTAGCCCAGGCAACATAAGAGCGCAGGCCTGTGTGGCCCATGTGGGCGTGGGACCTATGTTCCCCAGGGGGGCATCTGCAGATGCCGCCAGAAGAGTTGGCAACAGGGACGGAGCTGGTGAGCACCCACAGATAATGACGCTGGCGTCAGCCCTGTCAGGTAGGGCACATGCACCCCCCATGCCTCCTGTACCAGTCGCCTATGAGCTAAACACTCCTGAACTAAAGGATTTTTTATATTCTATTAGTCTACCATGTCAGGCCTGGTCATGTCTCTTCATTAGCTTGATAGCTCTTTCCAGAGAAGGTCCAAGTGCTCATCAGCATTTTAGGGATCTCCACACCTTTGCCACACCTCTTGTCTATTATTGCTCCCCATCTCACCTTCCATGGTATTATCCCACTTCTTACTTTTCTCCTCTTTTCATCCTTGCTCCCATTTTCACCTTCATGTCTTCT